GAGCAACCGGCGGAACATATCCCATGCGGGCTCCGTCTCGTCGCCAATGCACTCGTTCCAGTTGGTCTCGGTCACGCTGGCGAGACTCTGGAACGAGGCGCTATATCCGTCCATCGAAACTAGATGATTGATTCCAGGGTCAGCGCCAGCCCGCGATAGCCGATACAGATCGATAAACTCACGCCAAGTGTACGCCGTATCCGCCTGCCGCGGCTCCTCGTCATCGAAAGAGTGTGAGTGCGGCGGCTGCAACCCCGCCATAAGCATATTCAAATCAGCGTCCTCCCTCGTCGTCCGCGCCGCCTTCCCCAACGTCAGCACGCCCTCGTCCTGGCCCGCGCCGAGCTCCGCCCACATCGCCTCCTTCTGCTCGACGCCGAGCACGCCGTGCGCGCCGCCCCACTTCGCGACGACCCACGCCCACAGCAGCGCCTCGCGGTGCCGCTCGATCACGTAGTGCGTCGCCATGAATATCGTGTTGACTTCGTATTCCCCCGCGACCTTGTGCGAGCCGCGGAACTGCGACAGCGGCGTCGCGGCGAAGTACCCGCCGAATGCGAGCGAGACCTCGTGCAGGAGGGGTAAGGAGAGAGCGCGCGCGTTGTGGTGCATGTAGGGCCGCGAGCGCGTGCCGAAGCGTTCGTCTGCGGCGCGTATGTCAGAAAGGATTGAAAAATAAGAAATTTGGAGGGGACTTACTTAGAAGATGTGAGCTCCAACCGAGGGAGCGCCATTCGCCGCCGCCGTCGGCCCTGCCTGTCGAGTCGCCGCCGACTAGCAGGTTGGGGTCTATGCGGAATACTTGGCCGTAAAGTGTCGAGTGGAATGCTGAAGGAGGCAGGGGTAATAAGAAGAATTGGTCGTCATTTAAGGCAACACTGATTAAAAAAAACAACGTAAGCTGACGTACACAAAAAAAAAAAAGATGAAAATGCTCTCACATATTATCGGAAACAAAATGGGGGCTAAGTTGCGGAAGCTGCGACTCCACAGCGTGGCTAAACGACATACATATGAGTAAATCTCTACGCGGCCGGCATGCAACTCACCTGTTGAAGCTGGGAAGAATCTTGGCGAGCCACTCCTCGGCGTCCTTCGCCTGCAGGGCAGCACCAGGCTCGCCCGTCAGGTGGAAAAGTTGGGTATCTGCCGATGAGGAATAGGTAAATTATAACTATCGAAATAATAGTACGAACCATGCTGAAATCGAATCGGCGCCTGCGTCTCCGCGCCGTGGTACGCACACTGGACGTCGAGCCACTGCGGGACGAGCCCGAGCCGCCGCTGGTGCTCCGCGCTGGTATTGTTTGCGTTGGCATCCGGGTCCGGGACGTCGGCGGCGATGATGTGCCAGGTGCTGTTCGGCCAGCTGGCGGTGGCGTTGCGCGCCGCGCGCAGGGAGTACCGCAGCTCGTCATGCTCGCGGAAACGCGCCTCCTTCGTGTGGTACCCCGTCGCTTTGAGGAGCGCCTTGCGCGCTTGCTGGTGAAGGACGTCCCTGCGTAGCCATAACCAAGTCAGCCCAGCGGGACAGAAAAGAAAAACGATAACGACGCACGACCCGTTGACCCAGACGTAGACTAGGTCGATATGCGCCTCCTGGACCATGCTGTGGCGGCAGGGCTCCTGCCACTTTCCAGAGGCCACCCATGTGTCGAGACATTCGTCCGAGAGGAAGCTGTGCGCCTTAATAGGTCGAACGATTGGATCTGCGATGGCTTGCGCGGGGGACGGGGAGAGAAACGGGTGGTACACGGTCGCAGCGAGCGTTTCCACTATTGGCGGCTCGGGGACTGGAACTGGGACTGTGGGCGCGGCGAAGGTGTTTGGGGCGACCAGCGACGACCATGGTCGCTGGACGAGCGTAAGTCCAATCGACGTAAGTGATAGCACGACGATCACGAGGATTGCGGTGCATCGCACGGGATTGCAGAGCACGTCGCGGAGGGGCGAGGAGGGGTTTTGGCGCCACCAAGGGGCTGATAGAGGTATAACGAGCGGGTGGACATCCCAACACAGCGGTGGATGAATCTGCTTATCACGGTCAGAACCTCGATTCCAGTTCCGTGGCTAGCCACGCGCTAAGTAGATGTGGGCGACCCAATCAGGTCGTGACTGTTAACGCGAGGCCACTCCGTAGGAAGTTGTGGGAGATTCTCCGAGATTGGGATGGGTCACGAAGTCGGGCAGAGAGGAAGCGGCGGGTCGGAGGAACACATAAAGGGGAGCACCAAAGCTGCGCACACGACTGTAATGGCAGAAATAACCTGTCTTGATCAATCGGTCCTGATATTTCAGCAACCGCCGTCGGCTGGGTCGTTATAAATAGACTGTTCACTTTTTTTTTGTGATCACGGCTGGTGACCCGGAGTTCTGGTTCCTGGACATATGCGATCCCATAGGCTTTACAAGTCGATTAGAACCTCCCAGTCCTAGTACTCAAGCTCTCCCGGCAGTTGGAACAGTAGGCTGGCCAGTGGGTAAAAACAGACAGGCACATCGTGGCTTCTAAAATTAGCGAAAATCTCGCGATCGAGTGAAAATAGAAAGACATGTCCCGATATAGTCCGTGTCACCACACACGTAAATACAGTCACCAATTCCCAACGAGCCCCACCGTCCAGCGTCCGTCCTTTAGGCTGCCTGGATACTGCGCTGCTTCCGGTGCGACGGAACAGGTATCACGGTGGGCGCGCGTCGCGACGGCTTTTTGACTGCGGAGCGGGCCATCGGTCGTACTGGATATATGTCTATCTTTGGCCAAGCCAGTGACCTGCCAGCTATCCTTACCTGAAGGGCAATATGTTGCCTGTTTTATGGTATTATTATTCACGGGCTCTCGCGGATTCCCCTTTATGTGCTTAGCTATCTCGCCATAAGTCCCCTTGCTCCTACACGAAATTGACACGCAGTGGAGTACTCTGCACTGATCGTTCTCAAGCCGATATCGGCGTCTGGCGGCACTAGCTGCATCTCGGCAGGGGACATCGCTGTTTCTCCATGGGACATCCAGTCTCGCGTGTGCTTAACGTTTTGTGATGCGTGTTGCTGGCATTTTTTCCGATAGCCTTCCATCTGAATCTTTCAGAATTCTGCACAACGTACTGTATGGATGGGGTCCGCGCTCGAGATTGGCTGGGACCAATATTCCAGACATCTGGTTCGTTCATGATGCGAAACCCCGCTCCGCAGTCGTCTCTGAATCGGCAGAGCCCGGTCAGCTGATTGATCGCCGATTGCTGATCGCAACCTTCCTTATCCGACCAGACGGACGAGAGCTGTTTGCCAAACACGTCTGCTCCAAAGCCAAGCGCAGCCAAGACCGCCAAGCGTACGACGAGTGTTTAAAGTCGCTGACGTCGTGTTGCACTTGCCTTGCACCGTTTCAACTGCCCTCTTCCTCTTGCGCACTCTTCTCGCGTTCCCGCGCCCTCGGCAGATGTCCGTGACAGTTTGATACCCGCCGTCTTGGGTTCGGAACCGAGGTGTGCGCGGGCCGACTGATAATCGCTGTGTTGCTAATCCCCGCCGCGATGGGCGTGGATCCATGAAGCCCCCGCGGCCGCTGCTATGCCAGGTCTCATACGCTCACGCCATGCCACACATCTGTGGGAGGGGTAACAAGCCCCTCTATGAGGCACCGATCCCTCCGCTTACCTGGGGACGTTTCAACACAGGGCGAGCAACTTAACAGCGACGCCATTCAATATAACGCTATCATGATCATAGCTCTATAACTCGCTATTTTGTTGGTCGTCAGCACTAGTCAATTCCTCCTTGATATAGATCCTGGCATGGCGAAATGGAGTGGCGTGGCGTGGCGTATCTATAATGATAGATCTCTGCGCCCTGGTTTAAATGTAGCGCCTGCATGGTTAGGCACTTTTCCTGTCATGTCAGTATTTATTCAGCCTTAGTCAAGGAACGGCCCTGCCTCATGCCCTAGTGAACAACGCCCCTTCTGGGTAACCAATTTGTTGAATCGATTTTATTGGCTATTCTATGAGACCTGCTATCTCCGGCCGCGGGGCAAGGTCGATGTGGTGCTCAAGGTAAGCCGACATGCCGTGCCGCGTGCTGTGCGACTTGTGGATGTGTTTCAAGATTATGATACACTCTCAGCATCATCGTGGCACGGAGCAAGGAACAAGCGCCAAAAATACACGTATGTCAGTCTATTAATATGTTGTTTTGGAGGACTAAAATACCGCCCACAGCTATTTTCAGCGAACCTCAGAAGCGTCCGCTGCACTCGGCAAAGTCTCGGTTTTGAGCGGACGAGCTGAGGAATTTCAAAAGGAAACTAAGTCAAGTGACGCTGGAAACATCCGCAGTCCAAGTATCCCTTCCAGTCATGTACGCCTGGTTTTATGAAACCCAGTCAAGTGACGCTATCCACGGACCACGGGCACCAGTTCCCACCGAACCAGGCTAATATCGGAGGTCTACCCGTGTTATTTGCGGAGTATGCCAATCTAATTATAATCCGGCCCAATGTGCCCGCCTCATTTACTTGCACCGAGATACAGTGACTGCTGCGGAACCAACCCGTGAAATTTCAAATGCCAATTATTAGATCCGTCGAATTTTGAGCTTATCTCTCCTGTCTGAAATGGCTTTCGGGGGAAAGGCGCAAGCTCGGAAGGACGCGCGAAAATAACGTGGGATGATGAATGTTATATTTCGATGCACAATAAATACAGGCACCCTACCGGTTTGCTCGTTAAATAAGCAAGGCAGGGCTGAAGACTCACAGCAACGATGTTACACTCTTTGACATATCCGATATCATGGGCCTTCCAAAAAGGCCTAGATAATGAGAGGGAAACAAACCTTCGCACACCCTCCTAATCTCATCTCATTTTTGAGAGCCCGGACAAATAGGCGATTCGTTGCTGGATTTTCAGAAACGAAACTCCGCGTTTCAAATTCCACTCCAGATTGAATACATACGTGAGCGCTGCAGCATGCAATAAAAGAAGGAATCCAGCCCTGATGAATGCGGACGCAGGGAATCGAACCCCGGTTGGCTGCTGATCCGTTCTGTTTTACGTGTTTATCGCTGATCACAGCGGTGTACCGTACACCACGTCCGCCTATGTACCGCCGTGGGTTTCGAATCAAAGTGAGTCTATCATATCTTAGACTGCAGTAAGGAAAAAGAAAGAAAAATGAGCCTTAGGTCTGACCGGAATGCAGACGCGGGGAGTCGAACCCCGATTGACTGTACTATGTATGTTTAGTCCAACCCACGAATGCACCGCAATTGTATGCCATACACCACATCCGCCTCTTACTTGCTGTGGACTGAATCCTCACATGTCACTCACCCCTGTCCGACTGGGTCACGTGTCACGGAGGGGTCTGTCGAAAATACCTTGTTCGTCCTGACAGGGGGTTCACCAAAAGCTCAAATTTTCCAAAATTTTGCATCAATTGTTGAATATTTTTGGTGCTTGTCAGACTGTCAAATTGGTTGAATGAGTTACACATCACACCCCCTGTCGAATTGAATGTAATAGTACAGTATGTAGATATGGGACTCAAGTGTGTGGTATGTCATACAGAGAGGCCCTCAGAGGGCAAGCTAGAGGAGGAAGTGTCAATCCAACCTTACCTAAAATAGATCAGGAGACAAATGGTGTGTGGTCTTTGAACAGAAGTCGGAGTTAGGAGAAAAGTGTGATAGCTTCAGGAGTTCAAATCTGCTTGGAGAGATTGTCTCCAGAGATGGCTCCAGAGAAAAACAATGGCCACCATCCATGACAAAATTCTCTGAGAATTTGTGGCTATGAAGTGGCAGTGATGGCATTGACGGCACACTCCTGTTTGGTGTTTGATGCCTTTCATACAGCCCATGCTAAAGGTGCTTTTCTGAGCACCAGCATCAGTATTCATATTATTAGATTTCTTTCCAGAGTTGAATTGAAACTGAGTCCCTCAAAAAGATAGCCTGAGGATAGACTCAGAGATAAATGCACAAATATGATTCTTGTCAAGGACCTGTCCAGGACGCACTACAGCCCAATTGCAGATTAGAAGCAGTCTTTCTTCATTAAAATTAAAATTCTTCTGGAGTGAGAATTTCACCCCAATTGAGTTCAAAGTATGCGAAAAATGCTGTAACCCTAGCATGTTTGTTTAAACAATCCACATCTAGATGCAAATTGCGGCTTACAGCTGTTTCCGAAAAGCTTGACACTCACTTTTTTTTTCGCTCACAACCAACTTTTGATCGAGTGCTAAGGATTACCTGGTTTGGGATTCCGATCAGTCATGTGCTGCGCTTGCCGTCGGCAATGCTCTTGCTGCCGCTCGCAGCCTACCTTAAAAACTTGCCCTCGAAATATTCTGCTTGCCTGGAAAGTGGTCAGAACATACGGAGGATGTTTGGTGTATGAAGCCTGGGCGAGAAAATGTTTGGGTTGTATAGTTCACTGCAAGTTCGCATCTGTGGCTCAGCTCGGCTAGCCCAAAGCAGTAATCCTTAGCCCTTCATCAAAAGTTGGTTGAGAGCAAGAAAATTTCGCGAGTGTCAAGCTTTTCGGAAACAGCTGTAAACAAGATGTTACAGCTCTTTGCAGAACTTAGGGCACAGATGAATTTTTTTTCCATTTTGGGTGTTTTTTTGATTGTTTTGCATAGATTGCGTGTTCTGGCCTCAGTTCAGGTCAGATTGCCTTGCAACATGGCCCATTCAATTTGCCTTCAAAATATGCAGCACATGGTCTCCTCAGAATTTTCCCAGAGTCCCTGGTGCGAGTTTCTGGCACAGGTGCACAGTTTTTGCAGTATTTCCTTGCAGATCACCTCTAACAATGGTTCTAGGGCCCCAAGGGGCATAGATTTTTGTAGGACAGATCTTTGCATATTCCCTAGCACATGGTATACTGTAAGTACTTGTATGTAGGCAACGGTCACGGTCACGATTGGGTCTGTTGCGTTGCCTCTGGTCACAGTCACGATGAGGTCGGTTGCCTTGTCTGATACCGTGACATGCGGAAAATATTATTATTTTGCCCCAAAGCCAACTCGGAAACCACATAAAGTCTCCAAACCACTTCCTCCACTGTGTCTGTGCAGAATAAGAGCTTCAAAACACATTTTCGGCCAGAATTAAGGCTAAGTTGAATGTTGCTCGTTGCTGAAATTTCAACAGTCACAGTGAAAATTGGGATGGTTGCGTTGCTGCAAGCTGCTGGCAATGTCACGGTCAGAGGGGTGGTTGCCTACATACAAGTACTTACAGTACTTGGATAGTCCAAAGTCTGTATAGTTCCAATGCATTGTAGATTTGTTGAAATAAGCCCCAGAGGAGAAAATCATGAGGAGATGCAGAGGCCAACAATGGGGAACTTCATTGTAATCTGGTAGTGTACATGCTGCTACCATTACCAAGTAACCTTAAATAGCAACAGTGAGGTTGCCCAAATCACGGTAGGTAGTGACTGAGCTTGCAACAGCTTGCACAGTTGTGCGCAGCCACTCCAAATCCAACAAGATTATAGCTGGAGGAATATCAGTAAAAAATACTCCACCACTATGGCAGCTGGTGCTGGCAGGTCTTCACCACTGGGAATTTCCCGTGTGACTAAGACACATCCCAGCATCCAAAGAAAAGGCCTACATGTTCAAATCCACTAGGAACGCAAAAGACATCTGTCACGTTCATGTGCTGTCACCAAGTAACTCAATCCATCATTCCTGGTAGATTCGGAGGGTGTAGATCCAGGAAAAATATGCCAGGGTAGGTCCTAGCTGCAGGGTAGATGCCCAGGTGCACAGAAATCCTTGAAACAGTGGGATTATGGGTAGACTATTTTTTTATTGATATGCCACTGGCTATAACTACAATGCATTGGAACTATATAGACTTTGGACTACCCAAGTATACCATGCACTAGGGAATACACAAAGATCTGTCATCCAAAAAATCTGTGCCCCTCAGGGCCCTAGAACCATTGTTAGAGGTGATCTGCAAGGAAATACTGCAAAAACTGTGTACCTGTGCCAGAACTCACACCAGGGATCCCAGGAAAATTCTGAGGAGACCATGCACTGCATATTTTGAAGGCAAATTGAATGGGCCATGTTGCAAGGCAATATGACCTGAACTGAGGCCGGAACATGCAATCTACACAAAACAATCAAAAAACACCCAAAATGGAAAAAAAAATCATCTGCACCCTAAGTTCTGCAAAGAGCTGTAATCAAATCACGTTTAATGGGCTTGGGAAGCCGCATGTCAACAAAAAGAAGCAACCATGGGGATTCCAACACAAGTGACCACAAATGTCAAAAAAGATCAAACACACACTTTCCAACTAGGCTAAAAGACCATGATAGAAATGGTTGTGATGAATGATAGTTTTATCATTAGAATGAATGTATCTCAAGGGAATACAGACTTCAAAATTTTTTAGTGTTTGCATGGTTTAATGAATTAAACACAAATTAAACATGTACTGTAGTAGATCAAATGGTCAACCTCAGTTTACCAAGTTGACATGAGTGTTTAATCAACTGTAATCCTCTGCAATTTTAATCCAACATAATGATAAACTGTTGATTCTGATTAGCCTCAGATCAGAAATAAGTATCCAGGAAGGACTGGAGTACCCAGATTGGGAATTTCACGAAAGATCACTCAGCTGATGGTCCTCAGTGGTTCAAACCACATATGATGATGCAAGTGAGATTAAAGTGAGGAGTCCAAGGACATGAGGCAAGCGATGAAGATGAGGAGATCCAGAATAAAAGGAGAAGCACATGGCACTCTTATTGATGACAGAACAACCACATGTATGTCTTGTTTAGTCTAGAGGTTAAGAGATGTTGTGGCCTCCTGACTGGCCTGGCAGTGTTCTGGCCTTGGTTTGAATCCCACTCTTGTCTGCCTTTTTACAGCAGGTAAAAAAAACAGGTAAAAAACAGTTTAAAACAGGATTAATCTCTGTTTAATCTGCTGGCTGTTTAATAAGTGATTGATCCAATCCTCCACCCTTGCTTTGTAACCTGTGCTCACTGGCATAGGTGTTAATCATGATTAGATTTATCCCCTGTTTAAACAGCAATTTGTGTCTAGACACAGATTGTTTAAACAAAGGTGGTTATACTTCTTAAAAATGCTTCAGAAAAATGTAAGGAACTAAAAACACTGCAAAAATAATGAAGGATTGGGATGCTCAGGCCCTGTTCAGGATCCCTAATTGATATTTAGGGCCTGCCATTTCTTACCTAAAAAGTAAATAAATGGAGCCTAAATTACTTGAAATTTTGGTCAACAAAGTGTTTCATAACACTTATATCTGGCTTCAACAGTTGTCATGCTGGCTTACACATCCTCCCTTCCTTCCATCCTTCCTTTCTTCTGTTGTCCATCCTCTGCCCCAATGCCTCCAACAAGGAGAATCAGGGGTAGGAGACCTTCATGCTCCATCCAGCAATTGATATCCAAGTGACCAAGGTGTGACATTGACTTGGCCAAATTCACCCCAACTCAAATCAATGTCCAGTGCCATGTCAAGTCCAGGTTGTTCTACCCAGGCCCTAAGGCCTCCCTACACCAGGCTCTTTGCTTTGAATTCCTCTAAGTCCATTGTCTGCATCAGGCAGGAACCAAACAAGACCCAAAGTTGATGTTGTACATTTTCTTTCTCTTACCCACCTTCCCACCCACTTTTGGCACCTGCTGGACTTGCTATGGCTCCTGCCCCTTCCCACTGCATTCCTTGGCCAGCCTCTGAATCTGTTTTCATCCTCAAGACAGGCCTTCAAGTTGGGGCCTGGTCAGAGGTAGTGTTGCCGTGGTCCAGTCCAGGTCCAGTTCATGGCCAAATTTTCCAAACTGCAGGTTTGGTTCAGGGAATTTGCTGAACCTTGGACTGGACTGCGGATTCAGGTTCATTGTGGCTCAGTCCAGGTTCAAACCTATTTTTTTTTCTCACATGCCAGAACCGTTTGATTTTTCCTCAAGAACCTCATCAACATTAATAACTTACTTGTTTCCTCTGGAAGGACTCATCTAAGCCCAGCAAGGGTTCTTGATTCTGGAAATCAATGAATTTTGGCTCTCTGATGCTGGTCTGATGCCATC